CACACAGTTCAGTTGTGTGTGCCCAACGAGTACGCGGGGCGACGGAGGCAGCCTACCCTGTTGTGTGTGCCGCGCGCGCGCACTAACCTGCAGCACTGCGCGCCTCTCACGCGCGCTCAACACGCTGTCTCTGCACATTGACTTGTTTCAATGCACATTGAATGAATTCACACGGGCCGCTTATTGTATACTATCATAAAAATGTTTATTGAAGTTATACTTCTTTAGGCGCGTTATGAAAAAATGATGAGAGTGAAATTTTAAGATGCGCGCGCATCACTGTAACACAAAAAATTAACAGCATGAAGTTGGTCGCTTTAGCGACCAACTTCATGCTGTTACTTTTGTGTTTACCGCACATTAAGAAAATCTACCAACAAAATAGAAATAGAATCTCTATTTTGTGGGTGCTAACGACTGCATTGTGAAGGCCTATCAAAAGTATTTATTAATCTGGAACAACGGAACAAAAACGGGATTCAGGAGACTACAGCGCCATCTCTTGACCATTGGTGTAGTAGAACCAAAAACCACATCTTTATTTTTTGTAATAAAGTAACAGTTATAGGTATTCAAATTTATAATATTTATCCACATGTTTCTAGTTTGTATATTCGGAATACGTGTTTGAGTTTCATACATGTGCAAATCACATATGTTCTAATAAAGTAAATTCAGCAGCGATTTTAATTGAATATTTTGATTATTTATTTATTTTTTCAAATTAAAACTGAACTTTATTGACTGTGTCCTTTTCCAGACTTTTTATTAATTTATTGTAATTAATTATTTGCATGCAATTAAAAACTAATTTTAAACGATGCCAAAGAAGGATAACTTCTCACGCGCCTACATAAGTACACGCACCCATTTTTTTATTTCGTGTTTGTGTTTTTTTTCTAATTTTTAGTTTTGTATAATAATTGGTTGTATTGTAACTGCTCTATTGTATTAGGTTATACCTGTAATGATAGATGTAAGTCATTATTAAATAAATAAATAAATTTTTTGAGCTTTCGCATTTATACACCTTACCATTTTTTTTTCTTGGCGTCAAATCAGTATCATTAGAAGCTGATGTTGCAGCTGGCCGTGGCGATACGGTTCTGGTAGGCAGATTTGCATTTGACGCATCTACTAAAACATTTTGTGATACCGATTGATTATTTGTATTTTATTATATTATTGGTACGGCCACAGTGCACTCAGATTCAGAATCAGATTCAGACTCAGAAAACAAGCGCGAGAAATAAACAGTGTAGTAAAAGCAGGGTGGCCATAGTGGCAGCAGGCAACTGGTTGCCCGCGCAGGTTTCGGAGTCAGACACTTTACCGGAATAAGGTCATTCAGATTCTGAATTCACCAGCGCTGCTCGGACTGCAGGTAGGGTTGCCAACCCTCCTATAAAATATAGTATCCTACTTCAAAAGGGGATCAAATACTATATTTCTAAAAAATATGTAGTAGGCGAAACTACTATATGTTGCTTAAAGCATATTTTTAACAGTAAAAGCTTTCTTAAAAAATATTAGAGATTGTTATTTTAATATTAGTAAGGCAAAGAGCAACAAAAATATATTTATTTCAAAAATAAAGTAAATATTATAACCACATACTGGTATCGATTCTGGCACGCTTGTCTAAATCTAAACTTAAATTTGACAAGAGTGCATCCTTGCCATTCTCTATACAGAATGAAAAAGAGAGACTGATGTTAATTCTTCGAAAAAAAATCAACCCATTTTTTTCGAATGCTGTATTCTTTAGGAAAACTGAAAATTAAACATTGATGTTTCGGGCATGTGAAAGCTTACAGTATAAATATCAGCAATTAGGAAACCGCCTAGGGGCAGAAGTATTTTTGCTTGAAATACAGATACCGATCATTTCTGTTTTTAATACTGCAATATTTTTCAAAAGCTTTCATTTATGTACGGAAGACTTTTGGCATCACATACCTCACTCCTAGTACCTTGAAGTATTGCAGTTGGATAACCCGGTTTTTAAAAGGAGCATAAATGCTACAATATTAATAAAAAAAAGTTAACTTAAATGTTGACAATGACATTTAGCTATCACCATACCAAATTTCATCAAAATCCGTCGCGTAGTTTTTGCGTGATGCGTGCTCAAACATATATACAGACAAACAAAATGTTCAAAAATTGATGATTTCGCTTCCTCTACTCTCATTACTAACTTCATATATGCCATTTGCTTTAAAGATATATTTTTTTTAAACTGATGTCGCCGTCTGTAAACTGCGGAATTATACAATTTACCTGCGACATATAGATTTAAATCATAATACATATTTTTCAATTTAAGTATATTACTTTCATTCGTCATTCATTACTCACTCGTAAAATCACAATATCGATGAAGTTGACATCACTATTAATGATGTACAAATCAATTAGGGTTGCTGGTTACAAAAGAAAACAATTTTTCTTGTGGCTCGAAAAAAAAATTAGGTTTCTCAGATATGATCGGCTATGCTGGTTAGGCGATGGTACCCCGTTTACCCGTGCTTATTTTATGAAGTCAGGGACGCCGTAAGTATATACAGCATAGGTACTCTTAATGTTTATGAGCGCCGCTCAGCATGAATAAAAGGGCAAAATAGTTCAATTATTTATTTTATTTTATTATTTTATAATTCCATGTTGTGTGGCAAACAATAGGCTTTAAGCAGCCGCAAAAGTATAGGTATGTACTTAATACTAAACTAAAGATAAACACGCAACATACATTTGTTAAAACGAAATTATAATTGGTAATAAATTAATACAAAATTACAGTTATTTATTACCAACAAACTTTTTCTAATTTTTGTCATAATTAATTGAAATGCGTTAAAGTTCAACCCTAGGTAGTCTCGTGAGGAGTGCGCTCGAAGTTCGTTTATTGACGTCACGGCCGCACTCCCCCCGAGACTACAGCGCGAAATTTGAAATTGTAGTCTGCTAAAACATGAAGTAAATAATCATCAAATCTTAAAAATTATACTTACAAATGAAAGGTGACACCATCTTTTTGCATACTAGAAGTTTTCGACTTCTTTTGACAATTAAAAACAGCACAGGCAAGCATTTTCGTTGGAGCTCTGCAGGGTAAGGCGTTCTGATTATTGTGGTTTTAAAATGGCGGCTCAACTAGTTTTATATAACGCACAGTCTTGTTTACTCCGAGGACGATGCAGACCTGAAAAGGCTGCGAAACGTCAATAAATAAATAAAGTTCGTGCATTAACCCGTTAAAACTAGTTTTATTTATTCACAGACTTTTGATTATATACGTTTTGTTTACTATGTCCCGCTTTCGACGAAAGAATCCTAAATCCCGACTTGGAAAAAAAATTATATCAACAACACGCTTTTGTTTGTGGGAGTATTGCATATTTTCATTAGTGTGCTATACGTGTGTACCTCGTCCCGCGCCAAAAATGGTGAAAAATTTTGTTCGACGAGTGAACGGTATGGCATCTCCAGTGGTATATGCTCTAAGGTGCCCAACCAATAAACCGATACGCTGACTAACAGTGCACTCAAACAGTGTAGTTAAAGCAGGGTGGCCATAGTGGCAGCAGGCAACTGGTTGCCCGCGCAGGTTTCGGAGTCAGACACTTTACCGGAATGATATAAGGTCATTCAGATTCTGAATTCACCAGCGCTGCTCGGACTGCAGGTAGGGTTGCCAACCCTCCTATAAAATATAGCATCCTACTTCAAAAGGGGATCAAATACTGGTGTCGATTCTAGCATGATTCTCTAAACCTAAACTTAAATTTGACAGCAGTATATCCTTGTCATTCTCTATACAGAATGAAAAGGAGAGACTGATGTCAAATTTAGTTTTAAGTTTAGAGAATCACGCCAGAATTGGCACCACTATATTTCTAAAAAATATGTAGTAGGCGAAACTACTATATGTTGCTTAAAGCATATTTTTAACAGTAAAAGCTTTCTTAAAAAATATTAGAAATTGTTATTTTAATATTAGTAAGGCAAAGAGCAACAAAAATATATTTATTTCAAAAATAAAGTAAATATTATAACCACATACTGGTATCGATTCTGGCACGCTTGTCTAAATCTAAACTTAAATTTGATAAGAGTGCATCCTTGCCATTCTCTATACAGAATGGAAAAGAGAGACTGATGTTAATTCTTCATCATGTGAGGTTATTTTTTTTTAAATGTAATAGTTAGAACGTTTCCGTTTCATTCTAAATATTGGAAGAAACGTTTCCTATCGACTTTTAATTAGGGAAACAAATGGTGGTATTCCCCATATTCTCCGATCGATCTTCATTAGAAAACTCCTCCATGTTTACAACTGCGAAAACACCCCCCAATTTAAGTTTCTGGATCAACAGCTTCGAACGCGTCGAATGAGAAAGAGAGACTGTTGAATGACTGTCGATTACGAATTTTTAGAGATTAAAAGTTTATGAAGTGGTTTTATTTTTATAATAAAATGTAATAAAGAAAACCTCCGTTTCCCCCAAAACAAATTTCTTCCCCCATTAATCCCCCCATCGCTTTTAAAACCCCCAAATTTGAGATAGTGGATATTGTGAAATAAAATTGGTGTGATTTTGTGTTACAACCAACCGTCTGCGCAACTGAAGAATTAGTGGAATCTTTAAAATATACGCTATTCCGGTCAAGTGGACGTAAGAATTTTATTGTAGTTTTGACTACCTCACAGAAGCTTATCGAAAAAGCCAACTCGATATATTTCGTGTCAAACACTCCAAGAAGTATTAGAATACGTCACACCCACATTCTAATGTAAAAAAATAAGATTATTGTAACATAAGACTAGGCCCATACAGGCCTTTGCCTTCCCTAAAAAGGGAGAATTAAAAAAAAAGAAGTAAGAGTCGAGCAAAATTTATATTTTATTTTGATTTGTGTTTCATTGGTGTTATTTTGTGCCAGGAATTGTTATTCTTCGAAATATTATCAAGTGAGGCTTTAAATTAAGATTCAACATGAGTTTGAGACCTGAGGATCATCGTCGAAAATGGGACAAAGACGAGTTCGAGAGAATAGCTGCGGAAAGATTGAAAGCAGAAATAGAAGAAGAGGAACGTTCCAAAAAGAAAGGTAAATAAAAATAATCGAATTTCAAAACCTTTAACATAATATCCTTTAGTTGTAAGATGTCTTATTACCAATATTACAATAACTTATTGGAAATCATTGTTCAAATGGTTGATTTCAACGCTTTATAAAAAAGATTATTTTAATTTTTAACCTACTATTCCAGCCCCACCTATCAAACGAGAACTTTTAAAGCAACGAGACTACAGAGTTGACTTGGATTCAAAATTGGGCAAAAGTGTTGTAATTACCAAAAACACACCAACATCTCAATCAGGGGGATATTATTGCAACGTATGCGACTGTGTGGTCAAAGACTCCATTAACTTCTTGGATCATATCAATGGCAAAAAGCATCAGAGAAATCTTGGAATGTCTATGAAAATTGAAAGAAGCAGCTTAGACCAGGTATATTGTATATTGATTATAGAATAAATATTAGGGATATACTGTACTTCCTGGGCCTAAGAGATGATACTTTGCACTAGGTTAGGTTAGTGTTGTGACATTTTCAACAAAAAAATGTCATGTAACACCTGTTAGACTCAGGAAGTACAGTTTTAGTTCTATTGTAAGTATACTCCTTCAGCTGCACTACAAATTTGCTGTCCAGATTGACAGCAATCAAAAATGCAAGTCAAGCTAGCGTCTATTGTCATGCAGCTATATAATTTGTAACAATAGAATTAATTTAAATTTCAAACCCTAATTTAAGCGCATTTAGTACCAAGCTTGTTTGCGCAGATGTGGGAGAATCAATACAAAGATTAATTAGTTTATTTGTTTCTTAGGTAATGCACATCACTCATTAAATAAAACAAGTTTCAACAGGTTAGATGCACTTATTTTATTTATTTATGGCGGTTTCGTAACCTTTGCAGCAATGTGAATTATTTAGTATAATTATTCTGATGACGCATTCCTTCAAAGGATGCGAAACGTCATAAATAAATAAAATCAGGGTATCTAACCTGTTGAAACTTGTTTTATTTAATTAGTAAATAATTGAAGTGAAACAGTACCAAGTTTAACAAATTCTTATGGTCTTATATCAAATCAAAGGTATTATTCAAATGCGAATGCCAGATTATGACCCATAATTTACAGTAATTTTAAAGGAGATGTCCTCTTTTTACAAGGAGCTTGGTTTTTTGTTATAAGAATAAACTAACGAACACCAAACTACGTTTAATTAAAAGCCATAAAAATATGAAGTATAAAACCAATGCACTAATTATTTTAGCCATTCCCAATTATTTATAATAAATAAAACATATTTTTGATTTACTTTGATAAAAGAAAAATTTTACTAATGGCAGCACTATAAACATGTTTTTGTACTAATCTGTGGCTATGGCTAGTGGTTGTCAATGTCAAGCATTTTTCGTTGAGTTGAATTTTCTGCTTTCTCGTGCGTGTGGTTTTTCTTGTTTTCGCAATTGATTTAAATTACGGGCGTATTGGCTTTCTCCAACTGGATTTTCGATTTGTACATGATTTGGACACCTTTAGCATTTTCAACCCTGACGACTTGGATATATCACAACGGCTATTCCATTTTGCACCCGATTAAGATCTCACCATTTTATATCTCTCCTTTTTTATCTCATAAGCTTTGCATTATTAGTTCATTAAGCACGGTAAAAATAAACACACCTTCAGACTTTTCATTCCTTGAAAAATAATTTTAATACTTAATGTAAACAAGTCATTTTCCTAATTAGATATGTATCTAATTGGGCTCAGCTTTCCATTATATGTAATTGAGTTGCAAGCTGAAATTTTTGTCACGCAAAGTATTAACTATCAAAAACTCATACATGAAATCTTTTTAGGCGGAAATGAATAGAACTCGAGAAAAAAATTATTGAAAATTAATGTTTTTGTAGGTTATGAGTCAATTTTGACAGAAATTTTGATCAGTGCTGCCATTTTTTTATGCAAAAATAACATGTTTCTCGTTGTCTATGGTAAACATAAGTTTACTATTGTCAAAATGTGACAATTTACCGCCATTAATGAGATCTGTCAGTCAGTGTTTGTGTTCGTCGCAATTGAGAGCTTTTTCGTACTCCTGTTGATATTAATATCGTCTGACTACCATGGCATCCTCAAAGCCTTCGGCCTCGAGTTCTGCTGTCCCTTCGCCTGAAGAGTCGAGTGTAGTGCGAGTTTTGGACTCTAATGAGCCGCTTGTGTGGTGATACTTCACACTAGGTTAGGTTAGGTTAGTATTGTGACCTTAACGCGCGAGCCGAGCGAGCGAAGCGCCAGAAACAAAAATTCGTTAATAGAGACTTTTTCTACAAAAAAATCTAGGCCCTGGAAGTAATTATCATTTCTGTAAAAAAAACGTCGGGAGGGGGGGGGGGGGTTACCCTTCCCTCTGAGGAGTCTTCCCTTATACCTATCCCTCTGAAATTCCACGACATTTAACAGATTTAATGAATTTTTAGGTTAGGTAAAAAAAAACTGCATTTCCGCCAAAAATCTTTTATGGCGGGGGGGTCGGGGGGAGCCCCCCCTCCCCCTCCCCTACAAATTACCCCGAAATTCGATTACATATAATGGAATTAAGTACCTCTAATTGATATGAATGCATTGATGAAAATAAATGCGTGTAACATGGGTTCATTTCTAACCTCACATATATTACATTAATCAATAAATTATTTATTTAGAAATTAGTATGTACCAAGTAAGTACAGTATGCACATATTCATAAATTCAAAACTATGGCGGATGACACTGACAGCCAGTAGGTAAAGACTTGTTTGTCACCTGTCAGTTGACTTTTTTTTTACTGGCTTTAGATTACATGAATTTAGTAACTTGCAGTGCCTAACTCCCTAGACTTCGTTAGTTAAAACTTCTCAAAATAAAAGAACATTAGGTTATTTCATTCAAATATGTGTATTCTTAGATTTTTTATTTGATTGTTGATCATTTTTTGCAAGAAAATGTGTCATTATGCCGTTAAACGTAATTGCATTTTCATGAAACTAAAGTACGAATTTATAAAAAACGGTAATCTCGAAAATTAAATAACTTACAGATATAAGTTACTTTTAGGGCCCTCTAATTAATAACATTTAATATATGCAAGTTAGTTACTATAGCCCAATACAGGACATCTCCTTTATGAAAAAATTTAATTATTACTTTGTAAAACTTGCAAATACAAATTAAATATTAAAATAATGTGTACCTACTGTTTCCATAAGGCGAAGAACGAAAACATGGCATATGTGTTTTGTTGCATGACAAAGAATAAAATACCAATCAAGTTTTTGAAAAATATTGTTCTCTTTTTTAACATTATGGATCTAATACGCATTTCAGTTATAAATATAATTAATTTATGTTTATATAAATAAACATAAAAGTTTAACAATTGTAATACCTTTTATTTTTTATGCGCATACATATTAGTAAGTGGTAGTACTATGTGAAACTAAACGCCATTCTGGATTGATATCCTTTTCTTTGACATTTCCTTTTGTTATGACTGTGGTGCGGTGCGACAAAGTGAACAAAACGAAACAAAGACGAATCGGTTGTTTTGGAAAATAATTACGACTTTTGTTTTTTAATATAGACTCAATCACGCCTTTAGATTTATTGTTAGTGATTATATTTATATTTCATTTTCATTATTATTACAATTATTTACACTATGAAGAGAACAATTTGTATGTTTGCCTGTAATAAATAAACTCAAAAACCCTCACAGACTGATGACAATTGATAAACAGACAAATAGCTACCTAGAACTACCTATTCATTTAAGTTATGAAAAGTGCCTAATTAATTATTTATAGCAATTCTAATTTTCTGCTCAATTGCAGCACGAGAAACCGTATGATAATTTTACTCTTTGTTAGCATATTATTAAAAATCAGCAACTTCTAGAGAATTTACAACTTTGCTATTTTGTTTCCTAATATTACAGCTATTAAATGTCATTTATAGCTGTAATATTAACTTATTCATGTAAACAAATTTTATTGGGTGGGTCAAACCTCTATAGAACTTCTGGCATTGTCCTTTAAATAACATCCCCTTTTTTTGTTAACATATTTCAGGTTAAAGCAAGATTTGCTCAGAACAAAAGAAAACTTGAAGAAAAAAAGAAAGAGTATGAACTGGATACAAGACTAAGGGAAGCTGCAGAAGAAGAAGCAAGAGTGAAAGAGCTCCGTCGAGAGAGAAGACGTGACAAGAAACGCAAGCTGCAGGACACGGAAGATCAAGATGACGACACACCTGCACAGTCAGAGCTTGCTCAAATAATGGGTTTCTCAGGATTTGGGGCTTCTAAAAAGTAGTTACTATTTACCATCAGAACAGATTCCAATTACTTGTGAATTTAAAATAAATATAATATTCAGTAATAAATCTAATTATACATTTATATTTTACGATTTCTTTAATTCTTGGAGCAAATAGTTGGCATTTTAATTTAAAGATAGAAAAGGAAAAGGTATGTTAAAAGCGTCACATGAGTTTTGTTTGGTTGAAGAGAGAGATAGAAGGCCTCTGTTTACCATAGATCGTTTTCGCTAGTCCATGCGTTTCGTTATTTTCTGTGGCTTAACAATTAAAGACTGATTCCTTTCCTTGCCTTTTGGAAGAAACAAAACGAAAAAAAATTTACGTCATTTCACGTCAATTTTTTTCATTCAACATGAAAATCTTATTTAATATCACTTAATATTTAATAATCTTAAAAATATTATCAATAATTTTTAATGGTAAGCGTTTTTCTAAATTCTAAAAGTGTTTTCCTTTAAATATTGCGGAAATTTCAATATAATAGACAACCCACAATGAGTTTGGATTTTGCTTCAACCCTCCTTGCAGTTAATACACTTCTGGACACATCTATTGGCCCACCTTAGAGTTTAGGTTTCGATAGCCCCTCCCGAAATATGATTGCTAGATTGAACAAAAACTGATGATGCAGTTTTAAACCTGATACATTTTACCATCTTTTTCGATCGTATTGTTTTAAATTTGAATTCAGAATACCATACGACATGGAGCTACGCCTAACAAGTCGGATATGCGCCTTGTTAAAGGCAATTGATTTTTGAATAAAAAACATGTTTTATCAAATAAAGGTTTAATTTAATAACGCGTGTTGCCTCCATGGGCATCTACCACAGCTCTCATACGATTAGGCATAGAGTTTATCAACCGCTCTATGGAATTTTGAGGGATCATCTCCCATTCCTTTTCTATGGCAGTTTTCAACTCCTGCATCGTCTGGGCAACTGGCTGACGAGCCCTAACACGTCTTTTTAGCTCGTCCCACATGTGCTCAATGAGGTTCATGTCTGGGCTTCTGGCTGGCCAGTCCATAACTGTGATGTTCACATCCCGAAGATATTCCCTGACGATGCCGGCCGCATGGGCTCTTGCATTATCATGCATAAAAAGGAAATTTGGGCCCACATAGTCCGCGTATGGTATCACGTGAGGTTCTAAGCACTCACGAATGTACCTTTCAGCATTTAATGTTGGCAGCCGTGGTCCTGTAACAACCTCAAGTTGAGTTTTGTCGCTCGCGGATATACCGCCCCAGACAGTCCATGAGCCACCGCCATAAGCAACCCTCTCTTCAAAGCAGTATTGTGCGAAACGCTCTCCCTTACGTCAGTAGACCTTCTTCCTTCCGTCATTGCCATGTAACACAATTTTAGACTCATCAGAAAAGAGTACACGGCTCCAATCTTGCTGTGTCCAATTTAAATGACTGCGTGCGAAATGAAGGCGCGCTGTTCGGTGGGCTCGCGTTAGCTTGGGCCCATTAGCTGGCTTGTGTGGTACCATATCGCGTTCTTTTAACCTTCTCCGAACAGTTCGAGCGCTCACAGATACTCCGTGGAAGTCGCTGTTAAGATTTCATTATCTGTGGTCATATGTTCATATTATAATCTATGTTTGTACTGGCAACTTTTCTCTCTCTGTTGCGAACGTGCCTCTGATTAGAATATGATGTAAAGGAGTTTATAACAATTAAACAAAGTTTTAAAATGATCCGGATATTTTTATTCATCAAATAACAGCAGAGCGTGGTTAAAGGATCAGTGGTTTAATGATCAAGAACAATGACGACATCGGGATCGGGAATAACCTTTGTAAAGCTGGGTGATGGCGTCACATTTTCGAATTGGAAATTTCGTATAAAATTATTATTGGAAGAAAAAGGTTTAAGTCATACATTAGAAGAAGGAAAACTTAAAAGCGGATCGCAAATTGAAGATGCGAAAGCAAAATCATTAATCGTTCAGTGTATAAATGATTCTCATTTAGAAATTGTTAAAACATGTCTGACTGCGGCCGACAGGATTAAAAAATTGGAAGAGGTATTGGAACGAAAAAGCGTGTTTAACAAATTGCACTTAAGAAAAAAACTATTAACAATGAAGTCGAAATATTCAGATAAATTACAAGATCATTTCTTAAAATTTGATACAATAATGGCGGACTTAGAAGCCAGTGGATCCAAAATGGATGAATCAGATAAGGTTTGTCACTTACTATTAACATTGCCAAACGAGTATGATGTCGTTATTACTGCGTTAGAAACAATGAGTGATATTACCATTGAGTTTAGTAAAGTCTAGACTTTTAGATGCGGAATTGAAATTAAAATATAACTATGGGCAAGACATAATTAATGAAGCGAAAAGTTTTTTGACATGTTACACTTGCGGCAGAAAAGGACATAAGTCCTATGAATGTAAGAAACCAAAAGGAAACTTTAATAAGTCATATAGAGGTCGAGGAAAATATACAAGAGGTAATATAAATAATTATGAAAGGAACAATAGACAAGCAAACTATACAGAGAGTGAAGAAATAGAAAGTAAAGTGAATCAAAATAGTATATTTGTAGCCACAACAAGTTCTCATAAAGGAATAGAAGAGTTTGTCATTGACTCTGGAGCTACACACCACTATGTGAAAGAAGAATTAGAACAGTTCATGCATGATGTAGAAAATTTAGATAAAGAAATATACATTAAAATTGCTAATGGTGAGTCTATAATATCGAAGAAAAAAGGAAAATTAACATTGTTTTATGAGCGATCAAAGAAGATAACAATAGAATGTCAAATAGTAGAGAATTTAAGTCATAATTTAATATCAGTACAAAAATTAATATCAAAAGGTTATACAGTCCAGTTTAAAGAAGAAAGAGTAAAAATTTATAATTTAAAGGAAACATTTTATGGCAACAAAAAAGGGAAATTATATATACTTACACTATTTCATAATGAACAAGAAGGAAATTATTGTCACTACATAAATAAGAAAGAAGATAAAAATAAATGGCACAGAAGATTAGGTCACCTAAATAGAAAGGGTTTAAAGATGATGCGTTTAGAATCAGATAAAAATATTTGTAATACTTGTATGACTATTAAGAGTACTAGACTACCATTTAAACCAATTACATACAGTCAATCAAAACAAATTGGTGAACTCATACATTCGGATGTAGCTGGACCAGCAAGGATTCCAACTAAAGAAGGTCATAGATTTTTCCAGACCATAATCGATGATTATTCACATTTCACACATACTTACTTACTGAAAAATAAGTCAGAGGTGGAAAACAATATCATAAATTATATTAAAGAAATAGAACGAGAAAAGGGTATAAAAATAAAGAGATTACGCTGTGATAACGGTGGTGAATACTCATCTAATAATTTTAAGAAGTACTGTCAGAATTTAGGCATAATACTCGAATATACCTTACCATACAGTCCACAGATGAATGGCAAAAGTGAGAGGATGAATAGAATACTTTATGATAAAGCTCGGACGATATTGGATGAATCTAACTTGCCTCGTCATCTATGGGGTGAAGCAGTATTGACAGCAACTTATTTAGTAAACAGATGTCCATCTAAAGCAATACAGTTTAAAATACCAGCAAAAGTTTTTGGAAGAGAATTTATATTGAATAAGTTGAGAATATTTGGAAGTAAAGGCTGGATGGTAAATATACCTAGACAGGACAAGTTGGATCAAAGAGCTACCCCTGTAAGGATGGTTGGGTATTCGCGAACTGGATACAAAGTATGGGACCCTGTGACAGATAATGTATTAACTACCAGAGATATTAGATTTGATGAAACAGATTTTACATATACAGAAGAAGAAAATAAATTAAAGAAAGAAAATATACAACATGAAGAGTATATAATAACAAGTAATAATATTGAAATTGAGATAGAAGATAATATGGAAAATAAACAGGAAAATCAAGATGAAATTGAGTCAAACAAATGCACTACTAGAAAAGGACGAGAAATAAAGCAACCAAACTACATGAATGATTATGAGATGTATGAAGCTTATTGTTTAGTAACTACAGATAATCCTACAAATTACAGTGAAGCAATTAACAATGGATGGGAAAAAGCAATTAAAACTGAACTAGAAGCATTAGTAAAAATGAATACTTGGACAGAAACAGACCTACCAGAAAACAAGAAAGCAATCGATACGAAATGGGTATTTAAAACAAAAAAAAATGGTCTAAAGAAAGCCAGATTAGTTGTAAGAGGTTATCAAATAAAAGGAGAGGATCATTTTAGCAAAAATTATGCACCAGTTGCAAGGATATCTACAGTGCGTACATTATTGGCTCAAGCTATAACAATGAACTGGAGTATAAGGCAACTTGATGTGCCCACAGCATTTTTGAATGGCTTGTTAGAATCCGAAGTTTACATAAAGGCACCAGAAGGAATTAAAGTACCAAAGAATAAAGTATTAAAATTAAATAGAGGATTATACGGTTTAAGGGAAAGTCCAAAATGCTGGAATCAAAGATTTAATAGTTATGTAGAAAAGATTGGATTCATAAGATCACAACATGATTTTTGCTTATATATGGGAGAGAAAATAAAAGTATGGATGGTAACATATGTTGACGATTTGTTGCTAATTGGAATAGATGAAAATATCAATAAAGTAGTAAAATACCTGGAGTCTGAATTTCATGTAAAAGATTTTGGATTCCCTACATCATTTCTTGGTATGGAAATACAGAAAAATAATGGATTATTGAAGATAACACAGAAAAGACAAATAAATAAGATGCTAGAAAAATTTCATATGATTGATTGCAAAAGTACAGATACACCTATAGTAAAAGGATTTCAATTAAATGAAAGTGAACCAGTTTTACCAGACATTCCATATAGACAGCTGATTGGAAGTCTTATGTTTGTGGCTACAGTTTCTAGACCAGACATATCATATGCTGTTTCTTATCTGAGTCAGTATTTAGATAGACCCACAA